TGTGGGTACTGTATGCTGGGTGTGGTGGTGTGGGTACTGTATGCTGGGTGGTGGTGTGGGTACTGTGCTGGGTGTGGTGTTGTGGGTACTGTAGGCTGGGTGTGTTGTGGGTACTGTAGGCTGGTGGTGGGTACTGTGCTGGGTGTGGTGGTGTAGGCTGGGTGGTGTTTTGGGTGTTGGGTGTGGTGGTGTGGGTGCAGGCTGGGTGTGGTGGGTACTGTAGGCTGGATGGTGTTGTGGGTACTGTAGGCTGGGTGTGGTGGTGTGGTACTAGGCTGGGTGTGGTGTGTGGGTACTGTAGGCTGGATGTGGTGTGGGTACTGTAGGCTGGGTGTGGTGGTGTGGGTACTGTAGGCTGTGTGGTGGTGGCACTGGTAGCTGGGTGTGGTGGTGGGTACTGTAGGTGGTGGTGTGGACGTGTGTGTGTGTAGGGCACTGTCTGTGTGGTGGTGTGGGTACTGTAGGTTGGTGTGGTGGTGTGGTACTGTAAGCTGGGTGTTGGGTACTGTATGCTGGGTGTGGTGGTACTGTAATGGGTGTGGTGGTGGCACAGTGCTGGATGTGTTGGGACTGTAGGTGGGTGTTGGTGTGGTACTGTGTTGGTGGTGGTGTGTGGGTACTGCTGGGTGTGGTGTGGTACTGTAGGCTGGGTGGTGGTGTGGGTACTGTAGGTGGTGTGGTGGTGTGGTACTGCTAATGTGGTGGTGTGGCACTGTGTGTGGTGGTGTGGGTACTGTAGGTCGTGGTTGGCGTGTAAGTGGTGAGGTACTTGGGTAGGATGTGTGTGGTGTGGGTACTGTAGGTTGGTGTGGTGTTGTGGGTACTGTAGGCTGGTGGTGGTGTATTGCGTATGGTGTTGTGGGTACTGTAGGTGGTGTGGTGTTGTGTGTACTGTATGTGGTGTTGTACACTGTGTCGTGGTGTGGGTACTGTGTGGTGGTGGTGTACTGTAGGTGGTGTTGTGTAGGTACTGCAGGTGGTGTATGTGGGGTACTGTAACTGTGTGTGTGGTGTTGTGCTACTGTAGGTCTTGGTGTGGTGTGGTGGTGTGGGGACTGTATGGTGGTGTGTGACCTGAGTACTGCTTTGTGTGGGGTTGTGGCACTGTAGGCTGGGTGTGTGTGTGTGGGTACTGTAGGCTGGTGGTGTGGGTACTGTAGGCTGGGTGGTGTTGTGGGCACTGTAGGCTGGTGGGTGTAGGTTAGGACTGTAGGCTGGGTGGTGTAGGTTAGGACACTGTAGGCTGGGTGGTGTAGGTTAGGACACTGTAGGCTGGGTGGTGTAGTTGGACACTGTAGGCTGGGTGGTGTATTAGACACTGTAGGCTGGTGTGTAAGGTTAGGACACTGTAGGCTGGGTGGTGTAGGGTTAGGACACTGTAGGCTGGGTGGTGTAGGGTTAGACACTGTAGGCTGTGGTGGGTAGAGACACTGTAGGCTGGGTGGTGTAGGGTTAGGACACTAGCTGGGTGGTGTAGGGTTAGGACACTGTAGGCTGGGTGGTGTAGGGTTAGGACATCTTCTCTATTCGTTGCAGAAAAAAATATCCTTACCGGAATATTTCCAGCAATGCAAACTCTCAGGGTGTAAGACAGTGCTGTAATGGTTGTGGTGGTACACAGCTGAAGGCCGTTGTGTGGGACCCTCAGTAACTATCTCCTCCAGTTACTCTTATGATTATCTATGTCGTCTTCCCTAATAGTCAAGTGTTGTTAAGCTGCATATATTAGGAGTTCAGTGGTGGCCACACACACGCGCTCTCCTCTGAGTAGTGATAAAACCATCTCTGTTGTATCTTCATCACTATATTAAACTCAAATAGGTGTTATAAATTAAGAAATAAATTATATTTTATTCGGTAATATTCCTTCGATATTTTCCAGCACTGAAGGTTCGTAAATTATATATTATTAAAGGACCTCTCAGGCCATCATTAGCGCCCCTAGCGGCAAAAATCAACACCACACAAAAGTAAACAAACTATTCATGCGTTAGATCATCAGAGTGCCGGCCTTCTAATATTTACTTCACTACCGAGGCATTTAAAACGGAATAAACAATTTATAAATATGTAGATTTCTTCCAGTGTGATAATTTATTGGAATAAATCCCTTCACTAGTTTAGAAATACGACCCAGCGACACTAAACTGGGTCTGTTATTATTATTATTATTATTATTATTATTATTATTGGATCACCTGAAGCATATCCACCACAGCTTATTTCACCTGAAGATTAACTAACGTAACCTAACGTAACCTAACCTAACCTAACCTAACCTAACGTAACATTAAGAATTATAATATATTTTTCCACTTGAACAATAAAACTAATCTAAACCTGATGACACTGTAAATAAACCTTCATCTCATTAGGCTCTGTGTACGGAATATTTACGAAAGAAAATAGTTCAGTTTATTCTCGAAATCTTATAGGGAGGAACCACGTCGCCTTGTCTCGAGGTTAGGTTAGGTCAAGTTAGGTTAGTTTAGGTTAGGTTAAGACACATTATATTAGGATAGGTTAGGTTAGGCCAGGTTACGTTACGTTAGATTACACTAGTTTAGGTCAAGTCAGGTCAGGTCGGGTCATGTTACAAACGTATTTTTATTATCTTTATTTAGTTTTTTTTTTTCACACAGACCACAAATCAGGTGAAGTAAAGGTAAAGAAAAAAATTGACTTTGAATTTACTTAAGAAGAATCGAGTGGGTCTTAACCTCCACACCTTCTGCACTTTGCCGGTTTAATAAGACGCCCATTAAACACTATCTGGGAGTTATTTTATGGGCAGTTATAAACCACTTCAGTTCTTGCCAGTCTTGTGTGTACTGTATATTACTTAGCGGTTCGTTCCTTCTGAAATATGATGCGCGAGTCAGTGAGTTTTTTTTTCCCAAATGCCAAAGTAACGTAATTCAGTCTACTTACAATACCCAAACGGCAGTGAAATAGTTATAAAACTAATAATAATTCACCATGGTTTAATTTCATTTCTGCAAAGAATAAAACCACAAAAAAAAACTCATATATTCTACACAGTGGAAGTGTTGTAAAAGAAATCGCTGAGTAACCTGTGGGAGCGCTTCAAGGCGGCAGTGGCGGCGGTGCTCAAAGCAATATGAGTTGTGCTTTTAAGGGTGTCCCGTTTAGGCGAATCCTGGTGTTTGATCTATGCCGTTTAATGCGAATTTGTATTTTGGCTATTCCTCTTGGCGAAGTTTTTCTTCAAGCCCAGTTTAGGATTTTTTTTTAGTTTCAGTTAAAATAATTTTTGTTTTATACTAAATTAGAATTACTTGTATCCCCACCATGTATCTTATGTATCCCCACCATGAATATTATGTATCCCCACCATGTATATTGTGTATCCCTCCATATATCCCCACCATGTATATTATGTATCCCCACCATGTATCTTATGTATCCCAACCATGTATATTGTGTATCCCTCCATATATCCCCACCATGTATATTATGTATCCCCACCATGTATCTAATGTATACCCACCATGTATCTTATGTATCCCCTCCATATATCCCCACCATGTATATTATGTATCCTCACCATGTATCTTATGTATCCCCACCATGTATCTTATGTATCCCCTCCATATATCCCCACCATGTATATTATGTATCCTCACCATGTATCTTATGTATCCCCTCCATATATCCCCACCATGTATATTATGTATCCCCACCATGTATCTAATGTATACCCACCATGTATGTTATGTATCCCCACCATGTATATTATGTATCCCACCATGTATATTATGTGTCCCCTCCATGTATATTATGTATCCCTTCATGTATCTCCACCATGTATGTTATGTATCCCCTCCATGTATCTTATGTATCCCCTCCATGTATCTTATGTATCCCCTCCATGTACCCTAATTATTTATACCCCTTCCCTAGAGGGATTTATCCTCCCTACCCTCCCACCCTAAACATCCGTCAGGCCGCCACCTCCTATCCCTCCATCTCCTCCACCCCTCCAACCACCAACCACCCCCCCTTCCCTCATGGCACATAGACCTGAGTAGTCTTACTATTAGTACCCCATATTTACCCCCTATTTAGCCCCCCTTACAACTCGCCTCCCCCTAAAACCCGCGTGAACACCTTCCAAGCGATCACTCGACGGGTCCTCCAGCCAGCTATGAATGAAACTTTTAGCGAAAGTAACGCAAAATAAGCGAATTGTTGAAGAAAAAAGTAGAGGTGGCAACCGCGCGCGGGGCCGTTCGGTCTGTCGGTGAGACCAAAGGGAAGAGCGGAGCGGCGTGTGGTGGTCATTTGGTTGTTGCAGGGAATCCAATGTAGCAAGGAATCCTGCCCCTCACCCCACAAGGTCCTCCTCCTCTTTTGAGAAGTCGTTTCTGAGTCATTGCGAGGTTCTTTTGAGGCCCTCCGCTCTGAGAAACACTCTAATGTGTCTAGTTAAAGTGTATAGTCTTGAGTTTGTATGTATGTGTGTGTGTCGTATCTTGTTTTTTTTTTACGGATAAGATGTTGTTATTGCGTGAGTGTGTTTGACGACAGTTTTATGATAAACATAAGTACCGTTGTTGATTTCCTTTAAGGAATTCCTATTAACTATTGTACAGTGCAGGAGTACACACAGGCTGTACAAGATGAGTATTAAGTGTACTGTATAAAGAAATACAAAAAAAGGAGTGGATGGAACAACCATTCATTCAGGAGCACTGCGGTACGACAGTTTCGGAATGCGACTCCCGGCAACCCCAGTGGACCAGCGGAGAACTCCATGGCATGCATAAATATATCTATGTATTGACTACTAAACAAGTTTTTAAAGAGTCAGTAAAGACTATTACAGACGACAATAACACCAGTGTTATATACCGTCGAACGTGTGGATGTTAAAAGATCAAATTAGTAGGGCAGGAAGGTAAGTAAATTAAGACTGGGCAACTGAGAGAGGCGGGGAGAGAGAGAAGGAGAGAGAAAATGACCAGTGTTGAGGTGACTGAGGGAGGGAGTGTGCGCGCGGCTTGTCTTTTAACCTGTGGCACTGGCATTGCAACACCAGTGAGTGCAACACCGTCAGAGGGGTAGCATTGCAACTCCTCCGACGTGAAGAGTCTCTGTGTATCAGTGTGCCAAGTGATAGAGTGTGTATCAACGACTTTCTAACAGAAATGTAATTAAGAAAAAGGTGTTTTCCCACAAGTAGATCTAACAAAACCGCTCTCACGACAGGAATGTTATAGATACGCGAAGAAAAACTTTGTATTTTGTGCGTCTGGTGAAATTCCAAGTTGTGTTTGAGCGCAAGAAAGAGTCAGTCAAGAATATACGTTATCTGCAGGCTATCGTTGGCGGCGCGGATCAAAGGGCCCGTGTAGACCAGCCAAGATAAGCTATCAATTGTGTATTGCCGACGCGTCCACCGGGCCCTGACTGGCTCCTACCTCCCTACCCACACCTAGAAACTAACTTTTACCCCTGAAGGAAAAGTTACTATCTAAAGACGCCGACGCGGAACACAGCAGTGAACAAGGAAGTTGGTGTGACATGGCTGTGAATTAGCTAATAGCGGCAGTACCTGACTTGTCATCAGTGAACGAGTGACTTGATCAACTTTTTAAGTGATTTTTGTGGATTTTCACCTACTTCTACCGACTTTGTGGATGTTATTTAACTTTGGCGAGTCTGGGGAAGAACTCTACGGGCCGGTGAGGTTACTTTTCAAGACGGGGTCGAGAAGTTCTGGTCCCAGCACCATGGGGCCACAACTTCGCTAACTCACGCAACACCGTACTGAGATTGGAACGATGATGTGGTAGGCCCAGCAGTCCCAAGTCATGGCCAACTCGTTCGTTAAATGGTGTCGTGCCAAGTTCTTCAACGGGTACAAACACATCAATGGTGAGTTTTTTTCGCTGTCTGTAGAACTTAGTCGGACGTAAGCATGTGATAGAATACTGTATGTCGTGTAATGAGACCAACGGAATCATTAGTTATCTTGTGACTTGTTATTGCTGGTAAGTTTTATTTGGTGTGTTAGAACTTCCTCACTGTTGTAGGTAGAACTTGTGCATGCTATGAATGACAATACAGTATTATGATGTTTCTGTGGAAGGTTGTGCTTCCACCGGTTACCAAGTGTTGACGTCGTGCCCAAAGTCTTAAGTTTGTTAAATCTGTGTAAGTTTTTTTTCTAGGGTTAAGTATTGGTGTTTTTATTTTATGTGTGTGTGTTGTGTCTTCGGTGCCCTTTGATGTATTGAGCGATGATGTGTCGTGTCTTCTTAACTTTTAACGATTTTCGGCAAGGTGTAGTGAGGACAGATAGTGGAGTAGTACTTGTTATCCCATTTCCTTCTTGCTCTTACCCGTTACCGTTGCCAACGAGCGTCAGTGCTTGTGTCAATAAATAGTACACGAGTCATTCGGCTCCCTTTTGAGGTGGTGTAAAATGTAAGTTACACTGCAAATTATTAATTTATAGCGTTTGTGTGTGAGCATGTTTATGCATGTTAATTAGCATTTAATATACTTGATATATCCATGCTGTGAGGGCCAGGCGCGTCGCGGGACCATGCCAGGTAAAATGAAGGTAGGCATTTAAGAACCTTTAGAATTAATGAATACGAACGTCTTGCATCATGTGATCATATGTTTGTAAAGAACCATTTTTTTTAAATTTGATACTTAAGTCCGTTTCTCTGGCTCTAGGCATCCAATGACCAGTTCCTCGTTATCATTAATATCCAGAGCTAAAACTAACCTTTTCGAGGGTAAATGAGACAAAGTTATACAGTAACATGTCTCCCTCATAACTTAACTAAGTGGTAGGAATTATGAGGTGACGGGCTGGTAATGAGACTCAAGTTACTACCCGTCTCCCGTGTAACTTAAACTAACGTCTTCCTTGCAGCTCAGAACAACCATAAACAGAATTTTAAAAGATGACGGGGCTGGCAATGGTGGTTGGCAGGGCAGAGCGAGGTAGGCTGGTGGTGGCGCTGGCTGGCTGGTGACTTTGACCCACATTGAAAGGCGAGCTGAGGGTGATGTTGCACGTCCGTTGATCCTTCAAAAAGACGCCGCCCAGAAGTGTCTGATCCTCTGTGGTATCTGCGGATACCCTTCAATGGACTCCAAGCGCATAAAATATTCCCGCTCTCTTTTTTAACTGTTCGTGTTAGAGCGTTTATATTTACTGATTTTCTTCAGTTTTTAAGTATTTGCGTTTCTCTGGTTTATCGGTGTGAGTGTTGTTCTTGCGTTTTTATTGATTTATTTTTGTGTCTGTTATGGCAATCAATGGTCGAGTGTTTATTAATGCTTGTTGCTGTTTATGTTTCGTTTCGTTAGTTGTAAGCCATTTAGTATTCACGTCTAGATAGATGACTTTTTTCATTCCTTTGATGAGTCGTTTTTTTCCTTTGATGAGTCGTGTTTTCCTTTGATGTGCCGTAAAACTTTTCCTTTGATGTGTCGTGTTTTCCTTTGATGTGCCGTAAAACTTTTCCTTTGATGTGTCGTGTTTTCCTTTGATGTGTCGTAAAACTTTTCCTTTGATGAGTCGTGTTTTCCTTTGATATTGTTTGAAATGAGTTTACATTTTTTTTGCCTTAGCTGCTTCCATTAAGTGAGAGATGAGGCAGATTTAGTTTATGTATATAGTGATGAGTCGATTTCTTTCACCCGTGTTGCTTCAGCCTAGTCAAATTTTCATTCCCAGTTGAGATGAATCAGAATTCCCATCATCGTACTGTGAGCGGTGTCAGATTTTCAGAAAGTTTCTCCATTACCTTAAGGGGAAAATCACAGATGTTATAGTGGTGCTTTCGACGAGACTGATTTCTTCTTGCCTCGCCGTTTTCAATGAGTCAGATTTGGCGCGTTTTCCGTCAAGTCACGCCAGGCAGGCTATCCCTATCACGCCTTATTTTATTCACACACTCTTTCGCTCGTCTTCCCCGTTTTCGCAATCGTTAAAAAAAAAGATTTTCTCGTGTCTATTTTTCTTTGGCCACAGCACCAAGGACGGTTGTATTTACAGACACATCTTAAGAATCGGTGCTTGAGCGGTGGATTATGTACACACCGCTCGAGACTAGCCAAGTACCACCTTGGGAAAAAAAAATCATGGTGGAGTCTTGGTCGGGTAGAGGGTCTCGGGCTCCCCACTCTAAGGTTTTTTAACGATAGATTTTCCTCCTGAATTGAGATGATAAACATGCATCTGATGGGACCACCTCAGCTTATCTAATCTAACGCTTAAATGGTTTTCAAATCTTTTTACATTGAATTTTCTTTCATAGTATAGAAGTGAATAGGTTTCCAGGGGTTTTGTGAATCACTTAACGCGCGACGCTGTGATGGATTCTGATGATTCCTTGTGTTAATCTTTATAAGCTAACCGGAGATATAAAACCGACCTAAGTCTCTTAAGCTACGTGCATTGAGATGAAACTTTAAAGGCTAGATTTAACTCCTTGCTGGAGGTGTGAGAACGCATCTACCTCGCTCACTTACGGCAGCTGCGGCAGAAAAAATTTCGAAGCTCGTGAGGCTAAATCTGTCGTGTGACATTTAGGAAGTTCACATGACCTTGGATGACCTAAATGGCAATTAAATGCACTTAGATTTACGTAATTAGTGTGGCTAGAACGTTAGAAGCCCGTTTCATCGATTTTAATATGAGGCGGCGACATGTTAGCTGCCATTAGCGTCATTAACCAGCTGTACCGTAGCTTTTATCTCTTCTAGCAGCTCCATTACATAACTGACTCACTGTATCACTGACGGAAAAACATCATAAATGTCTATTCTGGACACGGCTTACAAACTAACTCGTGTTTGTTGTTTACGAGCTAACAGGTTGGTATATGGCGATTAAATTATAGGTTAACAGTGGAATGTAACGCTTGTCATGGTCTCTTTTAAACCATCTGTAGTTATTTCTTGGTTGCTTACGTTCTTTCCAATTTCCGCCATTCCTGACTTAACTGATAATGCAATTGTTTTTTGCGCGCGTCGTGGTTTGTACGACCTTGTGGTGATGATGTTTACACGATCTACATTTCCCAGAAACTTATTTACCTAAACGTAATAATGTGGTTACTGATTAAACATCCGTCCGTGTTAATTTAACCTAACCCACTTTAATCCAATTTACTCCTATAACCTTCCGTAACTTAACTAATCTTTAACAGGGGGCATTTCATGGTTAAGGGAGTCAGGATTGGTGGGATTGACTTGGATAATTTTCTGTTGGAGGATTTTATCTCTTAAGGGAAATCCTGTTTGACTGGTAGGATTTTGTTTCAGGGTTACGACAGCCTGGGTAACCTCACCTACATTGATCCAACAAACGGCCCGGACCATCTCTCTCGTGTGTGGGTCATTTTCATTCATTGTTGGTCGTGTTTAGTACTACTATATTTTGTGTTGTTATTTATTGTCAGGGTAATGGTGGTAGGTGGGTGGATAGGTGGATAGGTAAACGGGGTAATATAATGTTGGGGTTTTTCATGACGTTTTATCATCCCATTTCGGTGTCTGACTGAGATATGTATTTTTGTCCGCTATTTCCTTGCCAAATGGGATGCGACTATTCACTTTCCTTCCGTTAATGGAGTGAAGTAAGTAATATTAAGGGGTTAATTTTATTTTTTTAATCATCGGGTTGGTTATAGGGGAAGTAGTAGCTCATTGGACGAGTTATAATTACATCGATCTTTAAGTGGTTAGAGCTGTTATTAATATGAGTTTTAGCGAGAGAGGTTTAGGAGTAATGATAAGTAGGAACCTTAAGCCAAGTAAACAATGTGTTTTTGCTCGTAACAAGGCTAATAAAGTACTTGGGTTCATACAAAGGAGTGTTAGTTACAAGACTAGCGAGGTCATCCTAAAACTGTATCTTGCGCTTGTGAGACCACACCTGGATTACGCAGTTCAGTTCTGGTCACCGTATTACAGAATGGATTGGAATCATTGGAAAGAATTCAGAGGAGAATGACAAGACTAATCCCGGGCATTAGGAACCTTGAGTATAGAAACAGGTTAAAGCATCTTAATTTGCACTCCCTCGAGAGACGTAGAGCGAGGGGCGACCTGATAGAGGTGTATAAGTAGTGGAAGGCAGGGCTAAACAAAGGGGACATTACAAAGGTACTCAAACTATCCAACCAGGAGCGAACTCGTAACATTGGTTTTAAATTAGACAAATTTAGATTTAGGCGTGAAATAGGTAAACACTGGTATGGAAACAGAGTAGTGGATGAGTGGAACAAGTTACCAAATATCATTAACTCGAATACGCTGGATAGCTTCAAACATAGGTTGGATGCTTATATGAGCAATAGGGGTTGGGTGTAAACGGGACTGCCCAGTATGGGCCAATAGGCCCGCTGCAGTTTCCTCCATTCTTATGTTCATATGTTCTTGTGTGTGTTCGTTTTGCGCCATGCTTAGTTATTTCCTCCCGCCGTGGGTGTTTCTGTATCGTGATTCACACACACACACACACACACACACACACTAACATTATCAAATCCACAACTCCTTCCCACAAGATTATTCACGGATATTTTTCACCATTTACAAGTCAGTCATGAAGCCCCCACACTGTCTCTTATATAACCAGTCATTATATATTTAACCAGACAGACATTCCTTCTCCTCCTCCCCAAAACCGCAGTAAAAAAAAAGAGTACCCCAAGTATGGCGACGTAAATACCTAAAATAATTCAAATTCCTTAGCTTGAGGTCCCTAGTAATTTAGACCCTTATTAATACTGTAAATTGAGTCTAATGTGATTTTTATTACCTCAGAGTATTGTCCGGATTCACGTCAACAAACTGGGGTGGTGGTGGTGGAAGGGGTGGGTTTATGGAGTTGGTTTAATTTTCAT